CACAAGAGGCGGATGATGGCACAAGAGGCGGATGCCTGTTGTCTCGGCACTTGAGTCAGATGGAAATCTTCAAGGGAACCGACTGCCTGTCGTACCGCCTGTAAATACTTGATCATGGCCGGATGGGTTGCTTCGTATTCGCCATTATACTGACTCACTATCAATTGTGAATCGGAAAAGGAGTTTATCTTTCGTGCCCCTGCCGCCTTGCACATGCGGATTCCGGCTAGTAAAGCTTCATATTCTGCCTCATTGTTTGAGGCCTGAAAACTGAAGCGTAGAGCATATTCGTATCTGTCGTCTTCTGGCGACTGACATATGACGCCTGCTCCACAACCATTTGAAGTAGAGCTTCCATCCACATATACCTTCCAGACTTGGTCTGGATCTCGAGAATCAGGGGGACGAGTCATCTCAACAATAAAGTCAGCAAAGGCTTGCCCCTTCACTGCCTTTCTAGGCTCGAAAGTAACTTCGAGGCTCTGTATTTCTATGGCCCATTTGATCATCCGACCTAACGACTCCATGGTGGTCAGTGGCCGCTTGATAGGTTGATCTGTATACACGACGACTGCATATGCCAAAAAGTAGGGCTTCAATTTTTTAACAGCCATGAAGAGTGCAAGACCAAATTTCTCCACTAAGGGATACCTCAACTCAGCATTTTTCAATACATGACTGACAAAGTAGACCGGGAGCTGACAGCCGTCTCTTTCAGCAAGAAGAACAGCGCTTAACGCATGATTAGAGACGGCCAGGTACATGTAGAGTACTTATTTGGGCAGAGGGCTGACCAGCCTTGGCAAGGAATGCAAGTGAACTTTCAATTTCTGGAAGGCCGCCTCAGCATCCGGCCCCCATTCAAACCTTGCCTTCTTCTTAATGGCCTGGAAGAAATATAAGCATTTGTCGCCTGATCGGCTTAGAAATCTTCCCAAGGCCGCCAGACAACCTGTTAACTTCTGAACCTCTCGGACGGTACGAGGCGACTGCATGTCGATTACCGCCTGCACCTTCTTAGGGTTCGCCTCTATTCCTCTATGATTGATAAGGAATCCGAGAAATTTCCCAGACTCAACTCCAAATACACATTTCTTGGGATTGAGCATGACATGGTGCCGCTTGAGTGTGGCGAAAGTTTCTCGGAGGTCCGACAGATGATCTGTCTGAAGCTTAGACTTGACAATCATATCATCAATGTATGCCTCGACGTTTCTCCCGATTTGATCAAAGAACACAGTGTTTATCATTCGCTGGAAGGTGGCCGAGGCATTCTTAAGACCGAACGGCATAACCGTGTAACAGTATAACCCTTGATCAGTGACGAAGGCCGTCTTCTCCTGATCTTTCTTCCATAAAGGAATTTGATGGAAACCAGAGTAGGCGTCCATAAAGCTCATTAAGGCATGGCCGGATGTTGAGTCGACCAGGTTATCAATTTTAGGCAGAGGGTAACTTTCTTTGGGGCATGCTTTGTTTAAGTCTGTGTAGTCTACACACATTCGCCAGGTGTCATTCGGCTTTTTAACAAGCACCACATTTGCAACCCAGTCTGGGAAGTAACATTGCCGAATGAACCCTGCATCAAGCAGTTTTTTGACTTCGGTGGTTGCCGCCTGACTTCTTTCTTCGCCATGGTTCCGCTTCTTCTGCCTTACCGGCTTCTTTTTCGGATCCACAGCCAGTTTAAGTACCGCCAGGTCAGGACTAATGCCTGGCATTTCGTGGACTTCGAATGCAAAGATGTCCTTGTATTCTTTCAATAGTTTGTGCAAATCGTCACCCAAGACTTTCAGAGCAGTCGTCCCAACTTTGACTGTTCGGTCAGGACGTGAGTCGTTTAAGATCAGGTCCGTATGCTTACCAGCCGGGTGAGGGCGGAATTCGTCCGACCGCTCCTCCGCCAATGATTGCTATTTTCTGTCTTTTCTTGCGGCCCCCGTCTGGGCTGCCTTTCTCTTCTTGCCGCCTGCTTCTTGAACAGGCGCACTCTCCTTGACATTGTCAAGGTCTGTTTTTCCACCACTTGATCCAGCAGTCATAACAGTGGGCTTGATATCCGAGAGATAGCACTCTCGAGCCATCCTCTGATCTCCCCTTAGGGACCCGACTGTTCCATTATCCCTCTCAAACTTGAGCAACATAAGAGATGGGATTATAACAGCCTTGGAATTATTCAGGGTTGGTCGTCCTAGAATCATGTTGTAGGCCGAGAGTTCTTCTACTACCGGGAACCGGACTACCATGTGTCGTCCTTCCCCTTTTTCACCCAGGCGGATGGGTAAATCCACTCGTCCCACTGGGTGGACGACTCCTCCTCCAAACCCTACTAAAGGGTGGGATGCCGGATGTATGCAATCAGTCTGATATTTTAATTTTGACAGACATTTGCTACTGATAAGATCTTAGGAGCTTCCAGTATCTATAAGGATTCGGCCAACTCTCTGGTTGGCCACTTTACACTCAATAACGATAGGGTCGTCATGCGGCCCCCTTACCCCTCCTAGATCTTCTTCAGTGATGACAATCTCAGGAAATGAATATTTGGAGGGTCGTTCTTGGTGAACGGAATTTACATCTAGCCGCCTGATGTTGTCTTTTTTGCCCCTAATAGTGGGACCGCCTCCTGCGAAGCCGCCTGCAATGGTGTAGACGACTGCATCATCTGTATCAGAGCTGTCGGCCAGTTGACTCTTTTTGGCCGACTGCTTTTTCGAGGAAGTGTTCCCCGTGGATTTCTTGACATAAGAGTCAAGATCGCCTTGCTCAGCCAGGCGGTCCAGATACCGCATGAGACTGATGCATTCGTTGGTGTGATGACCAACATCTTCATGATAGGCGCAAAATTTTTCTTGGTTCCGGTTGCTTGCAGAACCCTTCATAGGGACCGGCTTCTCAATTGAGGTCCGTCCCTTGATTTCCTTTAGGATAGCTTGGCTATCTTTGCTAAACGCATACTTTGGGGAGTATGGTTTGAATTCTTTTTTCTTCTTCTATGCCGGCTGTTTAGAGGAATCAGCCGCCCAGACCTCTTTTCTTTTCTTCTCATCTTTGTTCGACAACTGTTTCTGTCGCCCTTCTTTTTTGTCGAACCTTTTCCCGTCCGACTGTTTTGTACTACAAAGATCAGTCGCCTGTATATAGGCTTCCGCTTCAATCAAGGCCTCTTGAAGAGTCGCCACCCTCTTTCGGACCAAATCAAATTTGAATGTCGATCCGTCTTTGAGGCCTCTGAAAAAGTCAGTGTAGGCTACTTCATCCAGTAACCCTTGAATCTGTATTCACATCAGGTTAAACCGCCTGATGTAAGAACGAAGCCCCTCCTTCTCGCCCTGCTGAATCGTTCCTAAATCAAGGGTCGTCTTCTTCGCAGGTATGTTCATGGAAAAGTTAGAGGTGAATAAGTAAGCAAGCGTCCTGAAGTTATTCACACAACCAGACGGCAGGTTGCCGAACCATTGTTGTGCGATTCCTTTGAGAGTCGCTGGGAAACACTTGCACCAAGTGGGATCATCCAACCCTTGAAGGTACATCAGGTTGGTGAATGCCATCAAATGGTCTTCTGGGTTAGTAGTGCCGTCATAGGCGCCTACTAATACATTTTTCACTTTGGCCGGCTGAGCGGCTTCAGCAATTTCCTTGGAGAAGGCCGACGGCTGTTCCCTAAGTCTAAGCAACCGTAGCTGCCAGTCCATAGGTTGGACATTATTTGCGGCATGCCCACCAAACAGAGGTGGCTGCAAAAAATATTGTTGTTGCGGTACAAATGGTAAGTTTGGTACCGCCTGGTCACTATGAAAGCCGGACTGACGGGAGGTACCGCCTAACTGACTCTCATGATGCGACTGAGTATGCCTCATCGAGGTATTGCGCAGACTGTCTTGGAAGTTTGAAGTGGAGGCCGACTCTGACAACCGGTCATTCTTCTTCTGTTCTAGCAATAACCGAGCATCTGTGTATGTTTTCTTTGACCCGTCCGCCTGAATATGACGAACAGGTTTCCTCTTTCCTGGAGTAGGAAAGCGGTACTTTGTGAAATCAAGGGCAGGCGGCTCCCACTTCCTAGAGTTAGGATGAGGGGTCGCCTCTCGCCCTTGAACTGGCTTCCTCTTCCCTGAAGTGGAAGGTTTCTTAGCCGACTGCTCCTTGGCCAAAGCAGGCTTCTTGTTGAGAAACTCTTGAATCTCTCCCTTGAAGCCCCTCATGAAGGTCATGAGTTCGTTTCTTGTAATGGGAGCAGACCCATCAGCCGGCTGCTGCTAAACAGGCGGTGCGCCGGCTGGATCACTGGGTCCAGTTTGAAGATGTTCTCGTTCCCTCCTTTCGGTATGACGGGTGCGTCGGGCCCTTAGGGTCCCGTCTGAAGCTGTGAGCTTCAACTTCAAATTCATTCTCAGTATCGTGGTCCGACTGAACTTGAGGGTCGTCTAGGGGACGCCTCTCTTCAGGAGTCGGTACAGACGTGGATGCCATCTTAGAAGTACTCTCCCCACAGACGGCGCCAAAATGTTTCGGGGTTTTCTGATGTCCTGCGGTAGAGTTACAATTCCGAGACTGGAACCGGACGCCTGTACCTGCAAAACAAACGGATGCTCCGGATGATTGGAGATCCGCCTCCGACGGTCAAGTTAGTACTTGATTAAGGAGTAATTAATGCGGAAATTAAAGTGGTTGGGTCTCTCTAGGTGAGAGTGTTTAATGTGCGTAATCCCCCTTAATGAGGATTAAGGGAGGTATTTATAACCTTGGGAAACGTGCCAATCCTAGGTTTAGGTTAACCTTGGGCTGATTGGGCTTCCCTTGGAAGTTGGGCCTAGGTGGCCGGTTTCTCCATTAGGCATGGAGTATGCCACGTGTCATGACATAATAGGTCTAGGGTGGACGAATAGGCGTGTGCCACGTGGCAAGCCCTGATAGTTCCAACTGGGGGACACTTGGCAGGACTTGATTGGCCCACGTGGCGCATTCCGATTGGTGGGAGCAAAATCCCCTAATCAAAGGTGACAGATTTTGGAGCTTCAAGATTGGTTCCACCGGAACAGAGTCAATTTGCTACAATGGTATTAGGAACCCGAGGATACTTGGATCCTGAATATTTGCAGACAAGTGAAGTAACTGAAAAGAGTGATGTTTACAGTTTTGGTGTTGTCTTGGTGGAGTTATTGACAAGGAAAAAGGCCATTTCTACTGCTAGGCCCGAAGCTGAGAAATGTCTCGCTATGCACTTCCTCCTCAAGTTAAGAGAAGGTCACTTGTCGGACATTCCTGACATGAACATAGTGAGCGAGGGAACAATTGAAGCAATACAACAAATGGCTAATCTAGCTAAATGGTGCTTGATGTTGAAAGGAGAGGAAAGGCCTACCATGAAGGAAGTTGCAATGGAATTGGAGACTATCAGAAAGAGATCTCATGGTTCCCATCCATGGAATGATGATGGATCTGTTAAAAAAGATTGTGAATCTTTGCTCGGGGAAATTCAAAGATCAGACGAGTATGGTGGTTGTAGTAGTGGCATCGAATCTAATTCATACGACTCTCACTTGCTCTCTTCTCTGAGAAGTGGCAGATAAATTATAAATCTCTAGATGTTAGTTGTAGTGGTAAAATACATATAGTAATGATGGGCATAATTAATTCATAATAATAGCTATCCAGGACAATTTTATTTTCATATTTAACCATATATGGAGTACATTATAGCTAATTATGTAAAATATAGATGTTATGTTTTATAAAGAATTTTTTATTTTTTTATTTTTTTTGACGCATTTATGAAGAATAATTGAATTGTGTATGTATTACACAATTTTATCCTTACGTATGTCATGAGTTCAGGCGGTAAATTAAAATAGTTCCAAATTTTTTGTTAAAATTAATAAAGGGAACTAAATAACAACACATCATTTTATTATTAAAAACAAATTTTGTACACTAGTATGAGTTGTACCACTTACGGTGGATAATACAAAAAACATGGAAAATTCAAAGGCTCTCTCGTCCGCCTCTCGTTATCTAACCTTCAAAATTGACGCTTTAGATTTAGACATTAAAATGTAATTAAAAAATAATTGAATTGTGTATGTATTACACAATTATATCCTTATGTATGTCATGAGTTCAGGCGGTAAATTAAAATAGCTCCAAATTTTTTTAAAAAATTAATAAAGGGAACTAAATAACAACACATCATTTTATTATTAAAAACAAATATTGTACACTAGTATGAGTTGTACCACTTACGGTGGATAATACAAAAAACATGAAAAATTCAAAGGCTCTCGTCCGCCTCTCGTTATCTAACCTTCAAAATTGACGCTTTAGATTTAGACATTACATTATAATTGTGTTTTTTTTTTTAAAAAAAAAAAAAAAAAAATAATTGAATTGTGTATGTATTACACAATTATATCCTTACGTATGTTATGAGTTCAGGCGGTAAATTAAAATAGCTTCAAATTTATTTTTAAAATTAATAAATTAAAGGGAACTAAATAACAACACATCATTTTATTATTAAAAACAAATATTGTACACTAGTATGAGTTGTACCACTTACGGTGGATAATACAAAAAACATGGAAAATTCAAAGGCTCTCTCATCCGCCTCTCGTTATCTAACCTTCAAAATTGACGCTTTAGATTTAGACATTAAATTGTAATTGTGCTGTATTTGTTATTTTTTTTTTTAAATAAAAAAAGCAATAAAATATTTGTTTTTAATAATAAAATGATGTGTATGATGAATTTTTCAATACTGGTGACATGGCATTCGAATTGAATTGCAGAATTATTTGTGTTTTAGAAATAGTTCTCGGGAAAATAGAAGTTAACCTTCAAAATCTATTTTTTCAAAGGGTATTATAGTCAATATTTGCATTTACTTATGGATAACTTTGTAATTTTGGGAATAAAAGAGGTTAACGACGTGAATGAAAAATGGAGGATTCAAAGAGCTTTAATAGCAAAATCAACAGGTGCAATAGAGCAAATCAAGCTCACGAACTATGTTAATGGAGGAAGACGAAAAGTCGTACCCTTTGGGGTTAAGCATGTCCTTCATTTCTCCATTACTCTTAGGGTTATCATTTGATTCGGCGACTAAGCCGTGGGAAATAATTAAGGTAGTGGAGATGGTGAGTCATAAGGAGGAAGCTTCAAGAATCCATTTCCATGGAAGAAGAAACTTCAAATGACGTCAATTGGTAGAACCTTCAAATGGCGTCAAATATGAGTTTAGTGAATAGTTAGCATGCTTCCTTGTTCCTAATATTTACAATTGACCCATTAGATAAACATGATATGTTTAACAGAATGATCAACTGGGGCAGATCCTGATCCTAAGACCCTTAGTACCCGCTTTGCTCTTTTATGATCTATAAAGTATTGTATGTAGAAACGTAATTTAAGAAAATATTAAAGAATGTGAGTAATTGTAAAATACAATTGGAGAGATAATATAATTTAAAAGGATGAGTTTGGGAAAGAAAAAAGGTGAATAAAGTATGTAGGAGAGAGAATATGCAAAAAATTTATTATTGTGAGGTTGATCGAAGGGGTACGTAAGATAGTAAAAGTGTTATGCTAAATATAAAATAGAATTAATTAAACCAAGGTGAGTAGAATAAAAAATAACAACATTAAATAGAAAGTGAGTAAAACAAAAAAGAACAGAGAAAGTAAAAAATATTTTCAGCAGGTCTTATATAAGGCAGACTTAAGTTAATTTTATTGTAAGACGGTCAATTTAAGGTACTTAACTATTTTAATGGTAACTTTAATCTCTTTTAGGGTAAATTTTATTTTTTATTTATATATATTTTTTGAAACCAGGGTAATTTTATTTGTAATGAGTTTGATTGTATTTTATTACATAATTTCTAAAGAATACATGATATGAAGGCTAATATGATTAATCTAGTACATTGTAAGTGCTTTTTAGGGGTAAAGTTTATGTTAGGACAATGGTAACATTATATTTTAGTATATAAGGATAACTTTAAGCCGTCTTACAATAATTTAATGAATGGTCCGTCTTAATTAAGAGTTTATACGTGAAATCTATTTCCATAAACGTTAATTTTGCTCCTAAAATATGTAAGCCAATTTATGTGGTATTTCCTTGTTTTCTTTTATACTTTCTATTTTAATTGTCTACGTGTGTCAATGCATATTTTTTTTTACTATAACCTACTAGAATATTAGTAAAAACTATAAAATAAAAAAATATAGGTAAAATATACTTTAAAAATACCTACTATGGATGATTTACTTCTAATAATCTAAACTAATGTTTATTATCTAATAATTCCAACTAACTATACTGTCAGTTTGCCTTCAATGGTCCCAACCAGTCAACGACCTATTATAATAGATAACCATGACTCGTGTCAACACATGATTGGTCTAAAATTTAAAAAAAAAAAAAATAAAAACATAAAAATATATTAAAAAAAACCCAAAATTCCCAGCCACCCATTCCCCTACCGGCAAATTCTAACCACACCGAAAACCGGCCAGCCACCTCCTTTAACCACTGAAATCGGCCGGCCGGCCCTCTACCACCCATCTGACCCACCCCGAACCCTAAACCACCAATCAAGCCCACCCCAAACCCCAAAACCACCCATCCAACAACAACATGCATCACTCGCAACGACCAGTAATTCAGCACACTAGCCCACCAACCCTTCTCACCCATCACAGCCACAACTCCCGCAACAACACTACAGCCCGCACCACTTCAACTAGCCACCAACAATGTTCGCATCTTCTATAGCTTTAAACAACAGCCCATTCAGCCGTAACAACCACCAATTCAGCTCCTACAGCCCGCTACATACAGCCAGCCACACAGCTCACCAACACGCACCAACCAACCAATCAATTCGCACTCCCCTGCTCCTTCAAACCACCATCAACCTCCGCACCGAACTATGAAGCACCAGCCACGCAACCTCACGCACCGCCCAACCACCTTCTCCGCCTCAATTACACTTCACCTATTCGACCACCAACAATCATCAATTCGCCACCAATTACATCAATTTCGGACTCCAACGTCTTCAATCTTTGAATTGTGCTCCAATTTGAATACCCAGCCGGTGGGGGAAAGGATGGCTGAGAATTTTGGGATTTTTTTAACTTTTTGTTTTTATGGTTTTTTTAAAAAAAATTTGGATTAATCACGTGGTGACACGTGACTATTAAAATCCAAAAAAAAAAAAAACTTTTCTGAAGGTTACCGGTCATTGGAACCATTATAGGCAAACTGACAGCATAGTTGGGATATTAGATGATAAACCTTAGTTGAGATTATTTAAAGTAAATTGTCATAGTTGGTGTTATTAATGTGTATTTTTCCAATAAAATATTCCCTACATTTCACAATGATAATACTGATTGAAATCTTTTGACTTTTAAAAATAAGTAAAACTCCTCTAATATTCTCTAATTCTATATATTAGAACAAAAATAGTCATATGGGGTCTAGTTTGATTCACCTTGGTGTATACATTATTAATATCTACCTTTTATAATTTTTTCTACTGTGAGATTAAAAATATTTGCGTCAAAAATTTACAAAACTTGCATTGATTTACGTAAACAGAAACATCATTCTGAAACGGAGGGAGTATATCGATCCTAATAGCATTCATTATGACTAGGGGTGGGACTTTTCAAACCGAACCATGAAACCGTCCGTTACCGAACCGAACCATCACGGACCGAACCGTTTATAACCCACTAATTTTAAACTGAAAACCGAACTGAACCGTATAATGTCAAACCGAAACCGAACCGAGCCAATTAATGTTAACCCGTTACGAACCGTAAACCAATAACAAACCAAACCGTTTATAAACCGAAACCGTTTGAACCGATTAATGTTAACCCGCTAACTGTTTAAACCGAACCGTTTATAAACCGAAACCGTTTAAACCGTAGGAAAAAACCGTTTAAATCGAACCATTTACAACCCGCTAACTGTTTAAACCGAACTGTTATAACCCATTAAACCGTTTAAACCGAACTATTTTCAAACCGCAACCCGTTTAAACCGATCCGATTACAAACTATTTAAACCGAACCGTTTACAACCCGTTCCATTCAAATTGAACTATTTACAGCCTTTAACAATTTGTTAGAATACCATGAAATATATTTGATGTTTAATATAATTTAACAGTACAATTTTTTTTTACATATAATTATTGATTTAAATTTGTAAATTTTTTTGCTATTATCAAATTAAAATTATATTCTTGTATAACTAAATTAGGAGTTATAAATTAAATAAAAAAATGAAAAAATTTGGCCACCCACCCAATCCAACCACCCTCCACCCACCCACCACCGTAACCCACCCTAACACCACCCCCGCCGTCACCCCAGACCCACCCTAACACTACCCCCCACCCACCACCGTTACCGTAACCCACCCCCACCCCACCACCGTTACCGTAATCCATAGGCGGTTCTGAGCCGGAGCGAGGTGGTCGATGGAACAGGGCCCCCAAATTTGAGGGGCCCCAAAATCTAGATATATGTAATTAAGTTTGATATAATATTATGAAATTGCAGTTGGTGTAGTAGAGCAATTGTACTTTGTATACAAGGTCTTGGGTTCGAGACATGCATGATACAATTTTCTAATTTTTATGGGAGCTGCAGCTGGCTTCGAATTCATCCAAATACATTGAATGTAGCCTCCCTCTAGAAACCTCCGCCCAATTAAACAAGCAAACCCAATTTTTTTCCCAAAAATTCAGATTTTTTTTTTCCCAAAAAATTTTCAATTTACTATTCTAATTCCAAAAATACTCTATATCTTCTAAAATTCTATATTTTCTTATTTACTTTCTATTATTATCTTCATTTTCTTCAATTATTCAATTAATTTTCAAAGTTTTTCATCTCCAAAATTATTTTTCCCCATATTAGTTCATAATTTCAATGGTTTTGTCATTGGTGAAGACTTTTGATTTGACGCTTGTTGTGTATGAAGGCTTCTGCAATTTAAAACAGGTTAACATGTTTAATTTTATTGTTTTTATTTATTTTTTTTCTGGGGAATTTTTAGTGCAATATTGTTGAATTGAGGTTAATACCGAACTGGGTAGAATTGAAAATGAGGAAATGCAATGTACGTTGTGTTTAAATGGGGATTTTTGTTTGTTGTTATATGAGAGAGAATTTCCCAATTAATTAAATTGCCAAGTTCTTTGTGATTCTTCTGTTTTCACTCTTTCTCTCCTAAAATAGAAAACCCAGTTGATAAATTGTTGATTGAACTTCATTTTACCCAGAAAATTAGT